TTAATTGCCAATCTTTTGTATATAGATGTTGTAATTGGGAACAGAATTTAAATGGATTAAGAATTCTTTAATTAAACTATTATTTTGGGGCAGAATCTATCATATGTAAACTTATACCCTAACCCTACTTTAATTAGGAATTTCCGAATCTACTTAAATTCCGTTTCTATTTACAATATAGATACGTACCTAATTCCTTCCATTAGCTTCTTAATGACTGATCCAAAAACATATTCCATATTACGATCGTCTACAATAATCACAAGGTCACCATATTCATTGAATCGGAACAGCTCTGATCTTTTGCCAGCTCTATGTGGAAGCTCTACTGAAACATAAATATGTCTTTGATTTTCTGTGGAAATTTTGATTTTCTCATGATTTTTTGCACGCTCAGAGACCTTGGATATCCGGTAGTCTTTAATAATTTTTGTATAGTCCAAATCATAATCCAAATCATTATGGTTAAAGTCTTGATCATATTCTTCCACCTTTTCTTTTGAGTTGTCCTCTTTATTGGCTGGTAAAGATTGGCCAATACCTATTCGAAGACACTCGGGTTCTTTCCAAGAAAATTCATCGTGATCGTCAATTTGGGAATTTTTTCTTCTTATTATTCTCGTGTTTTCCATATACTGAAACTTCATACATGACTTGAAAACCTGATCTTTAATCTTACTTCGTTTAATAGGTTCCCCAGAAACTGTACAGCTTGCTGATAATAGTAACACATTTTGATCATCATCCATAAAAGAGATCACCACGTCTGATCCCGAGAATCTGTCTGGCTGGATTGCATAAGGACAATAATAAGTCATATTGCTAACATATTTTTCTACAGGAACTCCTCTTGACAGATTCGAAATTGTCATAAACTTCATCGTGGGAGTTATCCATGAAGGAAGGTTAAAATTTTGACCATTTTTCCATTTGTTAAGTTCTTCTCGTACATTACGCCCACGTTTCTGGATCATTGCCGTAATAAAGGCTGCATCAAATTCATTGCCAATTGATGAAGTATTGTTGAGTCGGATAATGTTTTCTACGAAGACATCCACCAAAGTTTTCCCTCTTTTTAGAAGAAAATTTTCGATGCCAGAGACGAGGTAAGATTCAAGTGATGGGTTGATCTTAATCTCATTATAAAAAGTATCGTCATGGCGAAGAATTATGCATTCTGGTGACTGGCTAGGAATGATGCTGTGTTGAAGTAGTTCTATAGCATGCTTGAACTTATGATTGTAAAAAACACGAAGTCTAAGGACATCTATAATGGCTGTTTCCAGATTGAAGTAATTTGTACCTAATGATTTACATGCATTTTCCAAATATATTGCCATATCATGGCTCATTCTTTCAAACCACGAACAAATAAGTTCTTGTATCTCTTGATCTTTCGTTCTATTCTTTAATTCACGTTCCGATATCAATTTCCGAACAAATGATGCACAATTTCGAGGTCGTCCCCTAAGGATATATCCCAAATAGTCACGAGTTTTAGGTGTAACATCTGTTAGATCGATTACGGTATCCAGATTCCGTAGTACATCATTTTGTGAAAGGAAGGGGAGCTTTAGCACAATATGAGCGTGCAAACTTTGGACTTTTCCAACACTAGTTACAAGAGAAATTCCACTTGCCATATGCATGTAGGTGCCGGCAATAAGACAGGTAACGGGAAGATGAGTGAGATGTTCAATATAAGCCTGCAAGAGATTCCATTTTTTCCCTAATGATAAACCCTCATTATATTCTCCATAGTCGGGTCTACAAAGGACTTGTGCCTCATCAAATATTAAGATTAGAGAGTTCACACCAAGACATTCATTGATGTATTTAATAAGTGAAGAAATATCGTCTATATTATGCAAGCTATCTTGGATTTTTTCTATTTGTTCAACATTAATTCGAAGTTGTGCAAAAAGCCATTCCTTTTTTGTTAAAATTTTTTTTTGAACAAGCATCTTTATAAGTAAAAGCCCACGTGAGATTATTGCTAAGTCCAGCATGTTAAATACTTTACTTTGTTCTTCAAGTTGGCCGTATTTTGGTGGTTTAGCTCTGATTCTTTCAAGCACTCGGCCCATAAAATCGTCATATTGCCCCCCGCTAGGAGAAAAATCAATATATATTGACCAAAGTTGTATAGAGATTCCAAATGCTGTCGATGTTTTTCCACCTCCAGAAACTCCAGCGAGAACAATTATGTCTTTCGGGTGGGTTATCAATTTTTTTTGCACAAGAGAAACCGTTTCTTGAAATTGGTAATCGTTGTAAAAGGGATTGAGATAATTCATTCCAGATCTTGATTCGTACGAAGGGAGACACAGATCTACCGTTGTGAAGGATTGTTTGGTTATGGTGCCGGGCAAGCTTATTTTGAAAAAAGAGGGTTCCATCTTCAGTTTAAAACATGGGTCGTTTGGCGGACCCGGAGAGTCACTTTCCTCTGCCTCAACGTGCCAAATAAGGGCGAGCGTGTCAACAAGCCGACCAATTGTAAAAACATTTATGTGTGGAAAGGTCCTTATAACTAAAAATAAAGGTGGACATGAACAAAAAATCATTTAAAATAGCCAAACATCTAGTGTAACAAACCTTTATTTTTAATTTCGACCATCGCCAAAACTAATACAGTGAAATTAAAAAAAAAACAAAACAATTGAAATCCGCTTGTCATTGTCAATCGTAGACAAAAGTCTATAAAAAAATATTTTTTATTTGAAAAGTAAAACGTTGGAGAAACTTACCATTGATGGGAAGGGGAGGTTCTACGATGATTTGGATGCAGCCGGTTGGAGGCTTGCGATCAATTGGAAAATGTTCCAAAAAAAGGTCAAATCCATTCATCTTTAATGCATTCAATTCATTAAGTACATGTTTTATATCTTCTCCTTTGTTAAACATTTCGTTAAGTATAGACAATTTATTATCTGTGTATGGAATTGCAACTTTCCATAGCACTAATTCATTAGCTTTATCGAAGCCTTCCCTACTTTCTTTTATATCATTCCATATCAATTTCTTGAGATGACTAATCGGGAGATCTTGGATTTTGTATTGGTGAGAACCTGTAATGCCGTCATTAAAGTTGTTAATATCGCAAATGGCAACAGAAATTTCTAGAGGTCGGCCTAGAACGAAACAGTTCAACACTATTTGGACCATAGAGCTGTAAACACAAAAAATCGGTGGTTAAAACAAGGTTCAACGAATTAATTTTAGTAAATACAGAATAATGACCTTTTTTGATACATGGCAGGTAAGGAATTTTCATTAAAATTGGGTTGTATTGGGGATAAAAAACCTCTTGACTGCGACATTTTATTTCGATACATATATATTGATTTTTTTCAATGTTATGCACAATCTGTATTTAGCTAAGTGCGAAATGTGGCCTGGCGCTGCTCATGCAAACCTCATAAACCGCATAATTGTTGGCCGAAAAATTGTCCGTGATTATCACTTGGTCTAAAAAAAACTTGAACTGCGCGACTACCAATTTTTTTCTTCGTCTGTTCCAAAAATTACTACGCTTTTTTTTTTGTACTTTTTAAAAACTCTTACTACAAATAAAAAGTAATACGAAAAGTACAAACACTTTATTCTTCTAGTTATTAAATTTTGTTTTTTTATAAATAATTGTCGCTTCGAATACAAATGTTTAGACGAGATACAAGTAATTGCTTGTTTTTTTTTTTAAGTCTAGAGTGGTAGCTCAAGCTCATTTTTGTACCAATTGATCCGTCATTTTAATTATTAGCCAGTTACATTGAGAAAAATGTTTAGAATGACCTAATAATCAGATGCTAAATCAGGAAAGTAAATATTGAATCAAATTTACTACTAGTGATGCCGACAATACTCTTGACAAAACCAGATAAAAATATAAACTAGCTACGTAATAGGTTTATACTGTTTATATTTTTAACGCTTTCGATTAAACCGTAAAAACTATCAAATATAAACTGATAAAACTACTGACAAAACTTTATACGTATGCTTGCGATAAAACAATAATAAACTGTATTATAAATATAAATTGTATTGTTTGTATATTTAATTAAATTAGCGTTTACAGTCAAACCCCTCTATAGTCACCTCCTCTATAGTCACAAAATTAATATAACTACAAATTTATTTTTACCAATT